ATATAGATATATAGATATATAGATATATAGATATATAGATATATAGATATATAGATATATAGATATATAAAGGCTGTGTGTATGTATGTTCCAGGATAACTCTGGAACAACTCAAGCAATTACAACCAAACTTGGTATACAGATGACTTACTCCTTGGGGACAAATACTATGGGGGTAAGACACCCCTAACACCCCTTGGGGGGTGTTCTGTTATGATGCAGTCTGTTGTGCCTTTAAATGGCTTCTACTGTACAGCACAGTTGCCATGATAACAGCTTCACAGTATTCCACAAGGGGGTTCCCTCTGGTAAGGGGGAAAATCCAACATTAGAAATTATGTTTGGTTTGGACATTTTCCCTCTATAAATAAATACCCAGGCAACGCCAGGTTATTGATTAGTACTATATAAATACGCACTTGTGATGCTTGCATGTCAAGAATCTACTACTGAAGCAGGTGTGAAGTGTAAGAAGTTGTTTGTGATTCTTTTGCATGGCTCCTTGAATACAGAAGTTCAGGAAGACTTGACTGATTTTAAATGATGGTGGGGGAGGAGGAAGGGAACATAGTTCAAAGGCAGAGCATAGGTTTTGCCTGTGGAGACTTCCGATTCTGCCTTTGTTAGACAAACTCAAAAGATCTTTATTCAGAGAGCTGTATCTAGTCACTGGCACAAGTTACCTTTTAATGTATTTAAATGTCTTTGGGGAAACATCATGAAGACATGCTGTTCTTTTGATCGAATACATCTGGACTTGGGGAAACCACAGAATTTTTTTTTTGTTATCTGCAGGAAAGATGTAAGAATAACATTCTTCTTTTTGCGATCTTGCTTTACAGTGGAAAAGCCATTCCTTATAGCTGTAAGAGATAACATCATTTACGGTCTGTCTCTGAACCCTGAGGAGAAATCCAACGATGCCATGGTCCCAATAGCAGGCGTTCAGAATGGATATGATGTTGACTTTGATGATTCAGAACAGATGATCTACTGGGTTGAAAATCCAGTAAGTATATTTGGTTATTTAGGACAGCAATTCATTGAAAAAATTCTGCTGATATTTTTGTTTTCCTTCCCATCTCTGTTTTGGATGAAAAACTAAAATCACCATGTACCTATGAATTCTTACCTCGAGAATAAGTTGAATGGATGCTATGTCTATATAGAGTAGACCTGTGATGGTGAACCTATGGCCTGCGTGGCACAGGTAGCATGCAGAGCCCTCTCTGCGGTCATGCGAGTTGTCACCCCAGCTCAGCTCTACCTTGCATGTATACGCGCTTCTCACCGGCCAGCTGATTTTCAGGTGTCTGCCATGCATGTAGGGGTGGGGCACATGCGGGAGATGCATGTATATGTACGGGAGGCAGGGCCAATGTGTGGGGATCACGCGCGTATGTGCATGGGGTGGGATGCACACAGGGGATCAGATGGACATGTGCAGGGGCGGGGCACACGCAGGGGAGTCATGCGCGCATTACATTATGGGTGCGTGTGCATGTTTTTGGCACGCAACAACAAAAAGGTCAGCCATCACTGATATAGACTAAACCCACTTAGCATTGCATTGTATCTTCTTTATGACTTTCATTAGGTACTTTTGATTATCATAGTTCAAGAAACAAAAGCACATGTTCTTCTTTAGAACTCATGATAGTCAGTGATGCCATCATGCTAGGAAAAGAAGGGCAGTGATTTTTTTACCCTGACCGATTCCAAATCATGATGTTATATTCTCACTTTTTTATCCCGAAGGGTGAAATTCATAGGGTGAAGTCAGATGGCACAAACAGGACAATCTTCGCCCCAGCTGCTGTTATTGGTTCTCCAATGGGCCTGGCTTTAGATTGGATATCTGGAAACCTCTACTATACTAACCCTTCGACACAATCCATTGAGGTAAGCATCCAACTTCCAGCGAGGGCTTGCATTCATATGTAATCCCATGACATCCCCCAGGCACCAATCAGCATTAAGAATCATTTAGCATAATTTCTCTGCCTTCATTTCTGCTCCATGTAACCAGATCTCATGATTTCTAAAGGTATTGACGCTCCACAGAGAAATCATCTACCGAAAAACTTTGATTACCAATGATGGTACTCCTAAAGGATCTGGAAAGCCACTGGGTTTAACTGTTGATCCTGCTCATGGGTGAGTTAAATGGATAGTTTCTGAAGCTGTTTAAAATATACTAAGATACTATTTTTTAAGCTTCTTGGTCCTACAGTGCTTCTGTAAAATTAGGTTCTGTGGCTCTGGGAAGAATTCTTTTCTAAATAATAAATATTCTAGCTGGAGGGAATGAAAGATAAGTAGAGATGTTCCTTTGTTGGTGAGAAAATTTGCTATTGGTGCTGGATTATTTCCTCTGCTGAATGTCTGATATACTCATGGGCATAATCTTGCTGCTGGTATGGTTTCCATCACTAGAGCACATTGGACCACTAAAAATGACCCTGATTCCTTCAGAAGGAACCAGAAACAAGCTGTATTCTTACTCTCATTTCAAACTGGTGCAGCTTTCCTTCCCTTTGATTGGAACGAGAGGAGGTCTTGTGGCCCATCAGCGGCCAGTGGAGCTAGTGGAGACTCAGACAGTGAGGAGGTTGGGGAGGAACATGGGTCAGTCCTGGAGTCTGGAGAAGGTTTATTTATTTATTATCAAAATTTATATGCCGCCCAATCCCGAAGGACTCCGGGGGGCTTACAAAAAAAAAAAAAAGAAGAAAAGAAGAGAAACAAAAAACAAGAAAAAAGACAAAACCACATGCATTCATTCTAATCGGGGCTGGACCTCAACAATGAGGTCAACAGCCCCAGGCCTGCCGGAACAGCCAGGTTTTTACAGCTTTCCTGAAGGCCATGAGAGTGGGTATGGTCCGGATCTCTGGGGGTAGCTGATTCCNTTTGGAGTAGTGGTTAAAACTCAAGCTAGAACCTGGGAGAGCATGAGCTCTGGTCTCACTTTGGGGGAAAAAGCCAGTTGGGTGACCTTGGGCCAGTCACTTTCTGTAAGACCTAGGAAGGAGGCAAGGGTAGATCACTGCTGAAGACCTTTGCCAAGGGTTTTGCCCAGTTTCTGGTAATTGAATACAATTGAATGAAAGGAGAGGGGGGGAAAAATATAAGGAAAATCTTTCCTGAACTCCTGGACTAAATCCCTACTACCTGCAAGAAGACCTCTTCAGCAGTTTAGAGAAATAGTTAAATCCAAAGGGGAAAGAGGTCTTAAATCTTGGTCATCTGAGTAACTTTCTCCTAAAGAACCCACTCTTGTCTCAAGAAAGCCACCCCTGATTCTCTAGACATGGTACAAAACCTCAAGCTCAATACAGTATGCAAAACTTAATGTCCCCTCTTTGGCTTTGTCAAACGCTCATTTTTACTCATGAGTTTGGGTTCACGAGTGCTTTAATTTTTTCTCCCAGGTATCAATTTCTGTGACAGATCCTACTGTAGTCACCTGTGTTTGCTTTCTTCATCGGGTCCCCGGTTTTATTCCTGTGCCTGCCCTTCTGGATGGACTCTCTCCACGGATAATGTGAACTGCATGAGAGGTGGGACCATATAAGAGAGCTCTGTTTGGGACTAAATAATGAGAAAGTGTTCTGAAGGATGTTTCCCCAACTGCAGAATGTAGGGAGGGAAAACCACTCGCAATTTGATAGCTGGTGTTATCATTACTGTATAGATCTTGTATGGTTTTTTTGCAGTAGAATCAGAAGCACTGAGGTGCTTCTAGGTTAAAAGGATTAGCTGGTGACATCACCATTATCCTAGGGATGTTCCTGGCAGGAGCTGGAGGGAAGGTTGGGTCTCGAACGCAGATTTGCTAGCCTCAGGCCCAATGTTTCAACCACTTGAGCCCCTGTGTATGAGGTGTATGATGGTGAAGGGAAAGAGGATGTTGCTGTTTTATGGAAGGAATGAAATGAGACAGAACTTTAAAAAGAAAGAATTACAAAGGAAAGAAAGGGGAGAAAAGAAAACATGGCTAGCCATACATAATCTGTGCTCTTAAGGAAAAATGCATCAAACAGCAACAGCCAGTATTTCTATCTGAAAGAACATTGTTTACATTATACTGCATAATTGCTACTAGATGATGATGGGATTGGGATATATTTACTCTATGTTTAGAGCAGTTTTCAGCTTGTTGTTGTTGTGCTAATTTTGGAACTAATGAAAGATGTATTTTAGTTAGTAAATAGGAAATTGTACAATTAATTGGAACTGGGCATGGCTAGTCTAGTGAAGAGAAGGACCAGGGGAGATCTGGTAGCAATGTTCCAATATTTGAGGCTGCCACAGAGAGGAGGGATCTAGTTATGTTCCAAACTGAAAGCCAGACAAGGAATAATGGATGGAAACTGATCAAAGAGAGATTCAACCTAGAAATGAGGAGAAATTTTCTGACAGTGAGAGCAATCCATCAATGGAACAGCTTGCCTTCAGAAGTTGTGGGAGTTTCATCACTGGAGGCTTTCAAGAAAAGATTGGATTGCCATGTGTCAGAAATGGTGTAGGGTCTCCTCCTTGGGCGGGGGATTGAACTAGATGACCTACAACGTCCCTTCTAACTCTGATAATCTGTTAATCAAGCTGCCAAGCAAAATCAGTAGGTATGTGAAAGATATTTTATGCAGTAGATTTGGGTTTTGGGAATGATATGGAAACCAAGGATATAGTAGTTCCTCTTTTCAGTGAGTGTAGTTATCTAACCATGGACAGCTCCATCTGAATTTTACCTAGGTTATAATTTAAAGCTTGTTCTGTGATGGGAGAAACCAGCTCAGTGCTCTTTTACTAGGACTGGATTTTTGTACATTTTGACTAGTTCCTGTCATTCAGACTTGGTCTTATGTGTTCTAAAATGTGCTATGATAAAGCCATATTATGATTCGTGTTACGGGCTTAAGCTCATCTACGTTTCCATTGTAATGCTCTCACAAATTTGTGGGATTTCAGTGGGACTGAAACTTAAGCCTCCTAACTGGAAATAATAGTTTCCCTTCCTCTGACAAAAAGTCTTGCTTTGTTGGCTTCAACCCAGTGGGATTTATTTGCAAGCAAACCTTCCAGGATTGCTTGGCAAAAAGTAAAGAAGAAATTCTAAATAATACATTGTGAGGCTGATGCTTTATGAAACACTGTAGTTGCCATTAATGATCTGTGGAAGGGAGGGGGACTTCCCTCCTGGAATTATTTATGACTCTTAAGGTTTGCTTGCATTATTTCACTTGGAAGTTCACCTACAGAAGCTCTGCCATACCATGGTTTCGTTTTTTAAATTACGTTTTTATTTCCGTCACAACGATATTGTTAGAATAGAATTCTTTATTGGCCAAGTGTGATTGGACACACAAGGAAATTTGTTTTTGGTGCATATGCTCTCAGTGTACATAAGAGAATACAATACATTCATCAAGACTAAAAAGATACAACACAGTGATAGTTAAGGTTACTAATAAGCTATCAAATTGTACTAGTAAACAAATAAAACAATATAAATTGAAAGATACAAGCAACATGGTTATAGTCATAAGTGGGAAGAGATAGATACTAGCAAGGAAGAGAAGAATAATAGTAATACAGTCTTAGTAAATTATTTAACAGTGTTCTGGGAATTAGTTGTTAAGCAGAGTGATGGCATTTGGGAAAAAGCTGTCCTTGTGTCTAGTTGTTCTGGTGTGCAGTGCCCTTAGTGTTGTTTTTAGGGCAG